CCAGGGTGGCTTTGGGGAATCTCGTCAACACTGTTGCTTCAGTGTCCCCTCCCTGTCTCTTCCTTACCCCAGTGCATGTTGATCTTCATCATCGGAGGCTTGGTCATCCTGGCGTACTGCTCGCAGGCCAGCAACGAGCGGACCTATCAGGAGGTTGTGTGGGCCGTCTGCGGGAAGGTGCCTGGCGTGCTGTGTGAGGTGGCCATCGCCGTCTACACCTTTGGCACCTGCATTGCTTTCCTCATCATCATTGGAGACCAGGAGGACAAGAGTAAGTGTGTCCCACGAAGGAAAAAATAACCAGTTGCTGTCCCTTTGGCTGGAAGAGGACAACCTGACCCCCCTGGTTGTCCCCACAGTCATTGCTGCTCTGGTGACGGAGCCCAAGGAAGCTGGGAGCAACTGCTGGTACACGGACCGCAAGTTCACCATCAGCATCACTGCCTTCCTCCTCATCCTGCCCCTCTCCATCCCCAAGGAGATCGGCTTCCAAAAATATGCCAGGTGGGTGTGGAGAGCCCTCCAGGGCTGGGAGCCAGGGGTGGGCCAGCCAGCACCCACCTAAGCATGGTCCCAAGGGATGGGGATGCCGTGGTTCTAGGGCTGTGTCTTCTCGCTCGCCCCTGAGGGGTTGAACATCTCCTCTTCTTTCCTATGCCTCAGTTTCCCCATCTGGGAAGCAGAGGAGCTGCTGAGCACTGTGCAGCCACAGCGACGTACTCCAGGGCTTGTGTCCCTCCCTTCTGCTCACCAGAGGAAGCAGGGAGTGCTGCTTTCAACTGCGTTGTCCCTGTCTTTGGAGTTGGCCATCCAGCAGAACAGAGAGCCAGTAAAGGTCCCCAGGCCGGGTGGTCTGCAGGCCAGCCCTGCTCCACCAAATATCCTGGTGTGACCTGGCTGCTGGAGCTGGACCAGGGCTACCAAGAAGTGTCACTCGCATCTTTCTCCTGCCCAAAACCCCAGCCCATCCCCTTGCTGGCAGGTCTACCACTCACAGTGACATGGGACAGCCCCCGAACGCAGCGTGATTGCGTTGACATCTGCTCTGGGCACAGTGGGTGACGGTTCCTGGCATATTCCCTTAGGAAGGGAGAGCAGCGGTGGTCCTGATGGGAAGGAGTGGGCTGGCCTGGGCTGTGCAGGGAGGAAGATGAGGCTGTGGGGAGACCCTCTGCAGAGCGGGGCAGCAGCGTGCTGATGGCCTCCTGTTCCCCTCTTGCAGCTCCCTGAGCGTGATTGGCACCTGGTACGTCACGGCAGTCATTATCATCAAGTACATCTGGCCCGACAAGGAGCTGGTGCCTGTGGAGATCCCCACCAGGTGAGGGCAAGAGACCTGATGCTGTCGGTGACTGTCACAGCGTTGCGGAGCCAGGGCTGCAAAGGCTGGGGACAAATCCTTCACAGGTCCCATCCCTGGGACTGGGGACACTGCATGTTGGTGCCAGAAGCTCCCAAGCAGTTGCATCTCTTCATGTTTCAGAGGAGCAGGTGGTGAAGGAGATGAAACAGATCTCTTGGAGGTCTCCACGGCTCCATCGCAGGTTTTGAGGAGAGGTGATTGACTTTGAGCTCCAATGCCACCAGGCCCAGAGTTCCCCGTGCAGTGTGTGTGATCACCCAGCAACAAGGGCTGCGTCTGGTTTAGGACTCTGTTGGTTATTTTCTTGGCCAGCACAGCCCCTGTGGCTTGTCCCCTCCCTCGCAATGTGGGGACATTTCTAGACCCAGTGTGGGCAGTGGGAATTTTAGTGGAGAGCAAAATTTAGACCGGTTTTTGGCACTGCCCAAGTAGATCCTTAGTTTTTTACTGATTCTTGTAAATCCTCAACTTGGTCTGGTTCTGTCTCGGTGAAAGGCCCCGGTGTGCAGGGAGTCCCTGGTCCTGGGAAAACCTCGCTCCGTGCAAAGGCATCGTCCTTTCTACTCCGCTCTCATGAGGCCCCACCTGGAGTGCTGTGTCCAGTTCTGGAGCCCCCAACACAAGACAGACATGGACCAGCTGGAACGAGTCCAGAGGAGGCCACGAGGATGATGCGAGGGCTGGAGCAGCTCTGCTGTGAGGACAGGCT